AGGTTCATCGACGACGTAATTTTATAGAGAATAAGAAATTTTTTTTATTTTTGTTTTAGGCAAGTACAACAGGCGCTATAACGCCCGCCGATTTACAACTCTGGCGACGAGACCGCGGCCTCGTAACCTCCATAGCTCCTAACACAACTATTATTTTTTAACAAAAAAAAATTTTTTATCTTTTGAAATGTATAATAAAATACCCTAAAAGTTTGAAAAAGATTTGTCGCATGGATTCTTCAAACAAAAAAATTCCAAAAGTTACCTTACTTTTTAGCGTGTTACACGAGACTCCCCCCTTAAACTCGTTTTTCTGTTAAATTTTCATAAATATGTGTGTTAAATATATTATGGTTTTTTGCTAAATGTACTCTTAGCTTTCTAACGTGATCTTTTAAAAAAAAAGTTTGTTACATCTATAGTATGGACATCCATAATACAATGAACATGTTTCGTATTATGCAAGGATGACTCTCGAATCGCATTTTTCTTCAGGATTCTTTCATATTTTTTTTCTAAAGATTCATATTACGTAATTTATATGAAGACATAACTTACACATAATTTTTTATTTTTGTACAACACCCGAGTTTATTTATTCAATTATATAACTAAATAATAACATATAAATAATAGATATACAAAATACTGTCACTGTGATAATTATATAAATCTTTTATATTTGAATCTTTCTGATTTGAATATATACAATCATAAAAGAAAATTCTTGATCATGTTAATTACACAAATAAAATTTATAAAATTTTGATAGCATAATAATTATAAGGTTGAATAATATAATTCTCTTTTATTAATAAACTATATAAGTATTTATGTCACGATTTGTAAATTCAATGCACGCTAGATTGTACAAAAATTAGTTACGATAATAAATAATTTATTAATTACTATAAAGTAATGCGTTATTTTATTTAAATGAATAGTAATTATGCATTAAAACAAATTCATTCACTATCATCACATTTTTTTATAATTATAAGAGCGTGTAAGCATATATCAAGATTTTGCAAATATTATAAATATTAATAAGTAATTTATTAATTTCTAAAAAATTATGCGTCAATTTTATATAATTAAATATATAAACAAATGTATACATTTAATTCACTATTATCTTATTAATTTTTTTTATAACTTAGAACAGCGTATGCCCTTTCTGAGAAAATATTTTTTGAACGGTTTTAATAAAGGATATAAAGCTTGACTATTTTTAAATGACATGATATCGTCGATTTTCTTAACGGCTTCTTCGCTCGATGAATCGGCTATTTCTTCGGTTGTGTTATTAACCCAATTCTTTTCTGTTGATGATTCCGTGGATATCACATGTACTGACAGTTTATGTCGAGCTTTGCTATGTATATTTTCCTAGGGGACATAAATTAAATTTATTATTTTTTCAACCATCAGTCATTTTTCACGAAACTTATACGTCATACAAAAAATCATATTCTATATTTTCTATTTGTCTTTTCTTTTCGGTTTGAATAATATATTCTGTATTTAAAAAAAAAGTAGTTACCTTATAAAAATTAAGTAATTGCTGCTGTGTTATCGTCTTTAAGTAAGCTACTTCAATATTTTCACGATCGAAGTTAAATTGTTGGCTTACAATCTCATTCCAATATAAAGTGCATCGTGCACTTAACATTTTGGGTTTCTCCAGACGTAATGCAGCTAGAGCTTTCTTGTGTTCCTCAAATTGGTCTTCTGGCATAATAGATATATGTTCCTGAAATATAATTATAGTGATATTAGTGATTCTTTAATAGAAACAGCTTCATGTTATTATTACATTGTATATACATGTGGACTGTTATATTTATTTGATCACATAGGATATTATGTGAGAAATTTAAATAAAGGACCATATGGTTAAATTAATCAATGTATTAACATATATTGTTATTCAAGATCCTATTATACTTACCAACATAGAATCCAGAAATGAATCGATTCGTTTTTCGACATATTGCGGATGTTTGTCACTTTGTACTATAATTCGCAAACCTTGCGCTCCACTCGTTTTACGTATACCGCTAAATACTATATAACCTAATTGCTCTTTAGTTCTTAACGTATTGAAGCAAGGTTCTGCAATAATTTGTGCTAAAAGTTCTAAAAGCATATTCGATTCCGTTGATTGTAAACCAGTTGGATGGTACACCATTGCACAAGAACTTTTATGCAACTTATTTTCCGCTTCAAATAGAAAGTGGGAACCTACAGTAATTATATATCATTATACAATACTATTACATAATATATCATAAAAAATAACTCATTAAAAGCTAGTATTCAATTTCTGAAACAAATTTTATTGCAGATAAAATGACATTAACAACAAATAATTTATTATATTTCCATATAAATATTTTTATATCAAAATTTTATATTCTTTAAATTTCTAAATATCTGTTTTCTATAAAGATTGAAATGAATGTAGTTTTTATTTTCATATTTTTTTTTACTTTCCTAATAATCCTAGTATCAATATAAAACCATTAGAAAAATGAGAAAATACTTTATATTAATTTTCTTTATATCAAAACTATGTCCCTTAATATAAATTAAAATTCTTTAAATATATTAATTTTTTCAAATTATTATAAGCAGATTTGTCATGCGCTTACCATCATCTAGCTTAATTTCACGATACAATAATAAATGCCTTTGTAACAAGGGTACTATGTTAGGCACTGCAGTTGTCAACTTAGATTCAATTAGTTTTAGAACATCTGTAGCTTCCGTTATAGTTACGTTACCATGTATTAAGCATTCCACATGCACTTTACTGAGAAGCTGTGGTATAAATTGTTGGAGTCTATCAACATTTAGATCTATATATCACAGAAATTTTATATATATTATTAATAAGTACAATAATCATACTAAAAAAGAATTTTCAAGAAGGAAAAGAAAATAATTTTTAACAAAAAATATTAGTTCTCTTACACACTTACAAGTAGTAAATTCCAATAATTCATCCTTGAGCCAAACTTGCTCTGCCAACAAAACTACAAGATAATATGCTGCATGTTGATAAGGTTGTTCAGCAGCGAAATTTTTCAAGCACCTGATATACTGTAAATCATATATCTATATAAATCCGCTGCTTAACTAAATTAAAGAGATTGATTTGTTATACGTACATTTTCCTTTAGGATTTCAAATCTCTTCGGATCAATCTTAAAATTTATCATTCGATCCATGATTTTTTCTAACAGCACACGTTGTTTATCATCGTAACCACCTATAGCAAGCTAAGAAAATAATTAGTCATTCTCTTGATTTATGAATGCTTTTCTTATGAAACATTAAATTAATGCTTATACATATATAAACATTACAGAAATAGAATTAAGCATATTTATTAATATTAATAGTTATAAATGAGAAATAAAATATAATTTGTGAATAACCAATATTTTACGTATACAAAATAGAATTTATTTTAAACATTACTAATATTAGTAACAAATTGAATAATAACTTATCTACATATCGCCTAAATCTATTTAAATATAATATACAATATTTTATTACTGTTATTATATACATATGTATATACTCACTGTTATTCCATATTTCGAATTAGTAAGTTCCCATTGTAAACCAGCTAAATCAGCAGCATATGCATACTCATTAAGAGAGTCACGAAATAGCTGAACAAACATATGAGTCAAGTTGCAACTAAGAGGATCCATATAGGCGTACGGACTATAAATAATAGACAAAACAAACGTTGTATATAATTATGAGAAATTATTTTTCTATTACAAAAGAAAAAATTGCAGCTATTACTTCAATTCACGATGTATCTCTTACAATAACTTATCACATACCTAACGAAATCGAAGATCATCCTCGCTCTCGGTACAAGAAATTCATCGTCTTTTTTATACCAAAGTCTTACAAACGATGTATCCTCCAAAATAATAGGAAATTTTTCTACCTGTAAAATTTCGTGTTAGTATGTATAACATACAAATACAGAATTCGATAAAAATCGGCAGTACAATAGAGCAAAAGTTCTCTAAGAGCAAAAAAACCAAAAGTGTAAAACATTTTTATCTTTCTTATATCACAATTTTTCTCGG